GGGAACTCTCTCTTTTGGATTTGACTGCTCTGGGACTTTCCCCTCCTCCTTCTTTTCTGCACTAATTTCACCATCCCATTTTGACCTTAATGAATCTCCACAAATTTTCTCCTTCCTCACACCTTCAAAATCCTTCTCTTGTTCCCATTCATTTCTCTCCGTAGTTCCCATCTCCTCTCTCCTGTCTACTCTCTCTGACTGGAAGCGTTGGCTGCTGAATTCATCTATCGTCACTGTGTGTTCATCTCTGTTTCGCCTCCCCTTTACCTTCCCTCCCAGATCCTCCTGTGGACTCCTGACAGAAGAACAATCTCTGGAAGCCTTGTCATCAAAGGACGAGGCAAGTCCATATCCCTCAAAAGGAACGCTACTGTGTAGGGTTGGAGAGTATCCCTTAATCTGCGAAGCTTCACAAACTAGTTTGTCTTTTGCAGAAATAGATTTGTAATCATCCGAACTTTCCATCGACACAGCGGCACAGTGTGGTAATCCGCTCTGTGTGGGAGAAGGCTCGTACCCAGAGGCGTGTGGAAATGGTGAAGCTGTTTTTGTTTGCGAGGCTCTACCAGCAAGATCAGCATGCGGTGGTGGAAGGTCACTGAGTTGGGCTTTGTGAGAAAGTACATCACGGTGGGGACCCTGCTCAGGAACGTAGGACTCAAACAGAAACCCGGGGCAGAGCTGTTTGCATTGATTGTCCAAACCCCACTGGGACTCCAGTTCAGCTACTTCCTCCGGTTCGACCACATCTTGTTGCCATTTCAGAATGCGCTGGGCCATCGCTTCCTCCTCGCTTACAAAGTACTCACTGTCCCTCTGCAGCCTTGTCTCACGGCCCTCCGTCAGCGGGTCACCCTCCTTATCACGCCGCTGACCTGGAAAACCAGGAGGAACTGAGTCGCTTAGAAGGAACATCTCCTTGGCTGTTTTTCCTGAGATGCTCTTCTTGCTGTGGCCCACTTCGACGTGTGGATCTGACTCTAAAGCAGACTGTTCCGGGACATTTCTTCCATCTTCCGTGGTCCTGTCTGCCCGGACGTTTGAGTAACCCTCCGCCCTGTCGGCCACTGGCTTCGCAGCTTGCTCTTGTTCAAACTGAACATTCTCTTGCCACTTCATTATCCGCTGGGTCAAGGCCTCCTCTTCGCTGACAAACTTCTCACTTTCATTTTTCAGCTCTGAGATATTCTCTCTCGACAGCTGCAGCTCACGCTCTTTGCTCGTCTTCTCAGACAACATCTTCTCTGCTCTGGCTTTTGTTCTAGGTGATGACTCAGCTTCCATTGCTCTGGATTTTAGTCGAGATGTGGGTACCTGTATTTCTTTTTCCAATTCTATTTCCGGTCTGGCTTTTATTCTGGTCTCGGGCAAAGGGGCAGATGTTTCGTCCTGTTCTGCTCTATCGTTGGATTTGAGTGACTCTGCCGTTGAAGTGGTACCAGCGACCACAGTTGCTTTTTTCTCCACCTCCTGTTTGCTGAAAATGTGACCGTCAGGCTCCATGTACTGAGTTTGAGCTGCCGTGGGCTGATCAGCTTCGGGGTGGGGCACCTCCTCTTCTGACATCCGCATACCATGCTGCCATTTCCTGATCCGCAAGGCTAAGAGCTTTTCCTCACACTGCATCCGTTCGGCTTCCAGGCTCTTCTCGTACTGAGCCCTCAGAGACTTCCCTGCTCCCTCATCTTCATACGGGTCAGCTTGATCTGGTGTTACAGCCTCACCCAGGAACCTCTCTTTGTTGGATTTGACTTGTCTTGGTCTGGGGCACTCTTTCAGTATTTCCTCTGCTTTGGCCTCTATGGTTCTAAGAGAGAAGAATGCTTCCACTTTTGCCACCCTAGGTTTTTTTCTGGGGGATTTTTGTTCCGGCATGAGCGCTGCCTCAACCTCCATTTGTTCCGATGTGGCTTCCACCAAGTCTGAGTTTGGAAGTAGTGAGGCAGACACTTTAACTTCTCCTCCTCTATCTTTTACCTTCCCTGTTGACACATTTACCGCTTTCTCCATTGCTTCCTGTTGGGGGTAAACGCGCCCCTCCGTCTCCATGTACTGCATCTCTGTTGACATGGGCAGATCCGCTTTGGGTTGAAACGTGTCCTCTTCCGACATCCTACTCCCTTGTTGCCATTTCCTGATTCGGAGAGCAAGGAGTTTCTCCTCACACTGCATCCGTTCGACATCCAGGCTCTTTTCATACTGAGCCCTCACAGACTCCCCGGCTCCCTCCACTTCATACGAGTCAATGGTTTCTGTTGCTTCTTCTTCTCTTGTCACTACTTCCCGGAGGAACTTTTCCTTGGTAGATGTAACCAGCTCAGGCGTGGCTGACTCCATCAGAGATGCCTCCTCTTCAGAGAACACCACTCCATCGGAATCTCTGCTCTCAGGGCGTTTTGCAGTTTTGGGGTATGCTAGTGTTTCAGAGTATGCGACTTCAGGGTGACGCAGCTCAACCTCAACCTTTGTAGCCGCCCTTGTTTGGTCGGACACTACACTGTGATGTTCACTTACCGTACGCTTGAATCCATCATCTGCCCGAGATTCAACAAAACTCTCAGCTTTTTGATGCTCCAGTGTATCGGAGTATTTTACATCTGATTTCCTTTCTGTCTCAGGCACCAGTGTGTCAACCAGCTCCCCTCTCATGATCTGGATGGCCCTGGTTCTGGACTGAGGCTCAAACAAATGCCTCATATGAGGCCGAGAAGGATCCCTCTTTGAGCTCGTACCTGGAAACTCCCTGTGACTCTCCCCTGAATCAAAGGCTCGATTGAACTGCTGGACATCGGGCAGAGAGTCGGGCTTGACCCTGAGTCTCTCCACGTAATCTGCATAGCTCGACTCGCTGGCAACCGATTCTGATTCCATCTCAGAGGACGACATGGTGGAGATAGAGAGCCTCTTCCTCTGTTTGACAGCTTTTTGGAGTGTGGTAAGTTTAGTCCTCACCTCGCTGTGAAGGCTCTCTGTGTCACTGAACCTCTCGCTGTATCTGTCACTGCACCGGTCACTGAATTTGTCACTGAACCTGCCATTAGTGCGCTGGTCACAGTAGATGTCACTGAATCTGTCGTTGAAGCGCTCAGACCGGTCAAACATTGGGGGAGGCGACAGAGCGCGCTCAGACGCCGTCTCCAAACGTTTAGACTCTTTCTCTACCTCTTTTTCTCTCGCATGGGAACCGGACTTGAAGTACACGGTACGCACCAGAGAGCTCCTGGATCGAGACCTTCCCTGATGAACTTTGGACAGCTTGTCAAATGGAGACCCTACACACCTGAGGTCCACCCTGAACCTCGTCTCCTTCCTCTGCTCTGCCGTGGTGTCTATGCTTTCATTGGCTTTGGCAGAGCATTTCACAAAGCCTGGGAAGTTAGCCGACTGCTCTTCCCTCAGTGAAACCAGAAGTGAAGCCGTGGACTCAGCAGAACCCTCCGTGTTTATCGCCATTACCTTGTAACTGCCCGAGTCTTTCTCTTTGATACTATCGATAACCAGACTGGTAGCATGCAAGTGCATCTTGCTATTACTGGAGATCCTACGTCTACGCTCTTTGGAAATAGATTTATTATTATGAAACCATAAGATAGTTGGCTGAGGACATGCAACCAGTTTACACTTTATCTCTACTGGTTCTCCTTCCAGCACCGATTGGAACTTAAGTTTTTTGGTGAACGAAGGTTTGATGTTCTCCGTCGAGGAGCTAATGGAGGCGGTTCTATCGGAACAGCGATTGGCCGACACCAGGCTGTGATCGAGGAGGTCCTCAGTGTTGGATCCTCCCAGCTGCTGTGTGCCGGTAAGTTCTGTGCTGCTTTGCTGTGTTTCTTCTTTCTTCTTCTCTTGGTAAAACATTTCTGAGAAGAGAAAAGGAGAACGTCAACCTCCAGGGGTCAAACAGAAATAAAAGGATTTAAATGAATCATTAATAGAAATATTAAATGCATGCTGGGAGTCACAATGCCGTAAGAAGTAATTTCACTCACCATATTTGTTCGAATAAACGCAAGACTTGATTCTTTTTATTAGAAACCTGCAGGAAGTTTTGATCCTCGTCTGTGGAAATTTCTTCAGAACATAAATTATTTTATTATCATTATAAACGCAATATGTTTCCAAGATGGGCTGCTAGCATTCACTGGTTTTGCTTTGGGTAGTTGCTTGATACTTTAATGTTCCTTACCTGACTTGCAGACAGGAGAATAAACGGCCTTTCCTGATCCTTAACTTAAGAGTAAATGATCGCTGCAGTATCAACCGAGAGCTGGAGGCTCTCGTCGGCTTGTACTCTAAATCTCAGTGCAGATGAAGCTGTAAGAGTCGGTGAGAAGGCGTTTATGCGAACTAATATAGTTTACTTGTGTTATTTAGTGCAAACCACAGGAGTCACATCCCACTATCTGCAAGCCAGGCTAAGAAATATTTTGCAGGAGGAGGGGCATCAGTTCTGGATGCAGCGAACCTCTCATATCTTTTAAAGGGAATTTCAAATCTGGAAGCTTTAAAAGATACGTGACCTGCGAAAAAAAAAGACCAGAAGAACCTTCATGCCAAAAAACAACAAACTGAAGTTTGGGATGCAAACCGTGTCAAAAGCAAAGTTCTATGAGTTCTCGCTTGAGGGGGAAAACCTTTGAACATTATCAGAACCTGAGCAGGAAGGACAGTACAAAGAGTACATGAACCTTCTACTGAGACACTTAGAGATGACATGCTGCTGTGGAGAGACAGTTGTACCCTAAAAGCAGTCTGCAGGAGGACCAGAATCCAAATAATCCACCGAACATGCATCCGCACGGCTGATGGGTCACTTAATAAAACAGCTTCTTCACTTAAAAACCTCCTGCAGGGACTCAAGGCCTGCTGATGGACTCCTTTCAAATGGAAACATTTATAAGCTAAAGCAGATTCATTAAACTGTCCATTTTCCATCGGCCCAATTCTCCTGTGTAGAAACAATCATCTACACGATGGTCAGAAATAAGACAAAATGTTACCTTTGACTTCTTGCTCGATCTTCGCTTCAATGTGTTCTCTGACGTGAGTCACTGTGGAGCAAAGGGCAGACATTAGCTCATGAATGCTACTAACAATACATTTTGAAAAGTGCTAAAAAACAGCAACAAAAGAAGTGAGATAAAGATGATTCAACAAAGAGAATCAAACACGCGGTTTGGGTTTCCTTCAGGAGGAAGGAGAAGAGATGAGAGAGGAAGATAAGTGTGACGTGGAGATGAGGAAGGAGAAGAATCCCAGGGGTTTGTGAGTTTAGTTGTGCAGGAGCGAGGTCCCGACAGAGGGCGAGATAACCAAGCGGTTTCTCCCAAGACACCAGGAGGCGGTGGAGGATTAATGTCGCAGAAAGTGAGGCGTCTGTTTTAGAGCGCGGTTTTCAGCCGGCGGATCCAGCTGTTACCTTCTTCTCCCTCTTCCGCGGTGACGCTGAGCGTGGCGGAGCAGGAGGCCTCCCCGGCGGCGTTGGCGGCCCTGCAGGTATACAGGCCCGCGTGCTCGGGGAAGGCGTCGACCACGATGAGCACGGCGGCGCGCGTGGCCTCGTCAAAGTGGAACACCACGTTGCTGCTGGGGCGGAGCGGCCTCTGCTCGTGGAACCAGCTGACCTCGGGCCGCGGCGAGCCAGACACCAGCGCCTGGAAGCGAGCCACCTCGCCGTGCCGCACCGAGCGGCTCGCCAGCGGCTGGAGGAAGGCGGGCTTTTGGCCAACGGGGGGTTTGTGGATACCGGTGGAGCTGGTGGGGACGCGTCTTTCCTCTGTGTGTTTATGTCCTGAAAGGAAGCGTGTGCAGTGACTTCCTGTCCTGAGGGTCCTTAAGGTGAGAAACCTCCTCATGAAGCCAAACGAAGACTTCAGATTTCCGTTCTTCCGACATGTTGTAATTGATTATTATTTATTTATTACAAGAACATAAAAGAACATAACCCTGTCAATGAATCTAAATATACCAGCTCAATCCTGAAAACTGGATTTCTGCTGTGTTTTTCTGATATTTTATGTTGGGGACGTTGATGATTAAGTCCAGGACCAGACAATATTTTCTTCAAGAAAAATAAAGTATAATATAGTAAAATAATAACAATAAAATGAAAGAGAACTTTTAGTGAAGAAGAAGACAAAAATGAAAGGAAGAAGTAGGAGAAGAGACATGAACGCAGCGTCGTTACCATGGAAACGGAGCTGTAATTAAACCTTTGTTATAAATAAATCAACACCATAGAAGATACGTTGTATAAATATTTGAGGTCATGTTATCGATATCATGGATTATGAAATATTTTTAAAAAGGGTCACAGATCCGATTGGTGTCGCGCTCCTGTTTGAGTCCTTAGTTTGTTCGCTCATAGATCCATCATTTAAAATACATTATAATATTCAAATTTCCTCAACCAGATAGTCGTACTATTGTTTTATATTTAATATGAGCGGCGTCTGGAGATGAAAATGTTTGGTTGTCTCACCGTCCAGGCTGAGCGTGGCGGAGCAGGACACCGTCCCTGCGCTGTTGGCGGCCACGCAGGAGTACTCGCCCTCGTCCTCGGGGTAAACCCGGGAGATCTCCAGCTGGCAGCTGTCGACAAACTGGGACATCCGGAAGAAGTCTGACTGCTTGATCTCCTTCTCCTTGTGGAACCAGCTGATCTTCACATCTGAAAGATAAGAACGCCGTCATCAGCGGTCAGACCGGCTCCTTTTCATTTCATGTTAAATTGTCGGGTTTATTTTGTGAATTGTGAGCATTTCAAAATAAAGGTGTGACTGATTGAGTTTAAAAAAATACTCAAACTGTGATGATAATGATGAGATGAGCCGATCAGGTGATCAATGAGCTGATCAGATGATCAATGAGCCGATCAGGTGATCATTGAGCCGATCGGGTGATCAATGAGCTGATCGGGTGATCATTGAGCCGATCGGGTGATCATTGAGCCGATCGGGTGATCAATGAGCCGATCAGGTGATCAATGAGCCGATCGGGTGATCATTGAGCCGATCAGGTGATCAATGAGCCGATCAGGTGATCATTGAGCCGATCAGGTGATCATTGAGCCGATCAGATGATCAATGAGCCGATCAGGTGATCATTGAGCCGATCGGGTGATCAATGAGCTGATCAGATGATCAATGAGCCGATCAGGTGATCAATGAGCCGATCGGGTGATCATTGAGCTGATCGGGTGATCATTGAGCCGATCGGGTGATCATTGAGCCGATCAGGTGATCATTGAGCCGATCGGGTGATCATTGAGCCGATCGGGTGATCATTGAGCCGATCGGGTGATCATTGAGCCGAAAAAGGTGATCATTGAGCCGATCAGGTGATCAATGAGCCGCACGGGTGATCATTAAGCCGATCGGGTGATCAATGAGCCGATCGGGTGATCATTGAGCCGATCAGGTGATCATTGAGCCGATCGGGTGATCATTGAGCCGATCGGGTGATCAATGAGCCGATCGATAACCACTGGAGTCTCTCACCGTCTCCTCGGACTCGGCACTGGAAGCGAGCCACTTCCCCCTCGCGGGCGGACGTGCTGGCGATGGGAGTCATGACGACGGGAGGGGCAACGGTGGCAGCCGAATCCTGTGAGAAACCACCTCGGACACTACGAGACACACACACACCTCCATCATCTCCAGCCCTCGCAGGGTCCCGCCGGTCTTTGAGCTGCGCAGGTGTAGAAACCCTGCCTACCTTCCACGTGGAGCGGCGCGGTGCTGGAGGCGGCGCCGTACTGGTTCTTGGCCTCGCAGTGGTACCCGGCGGCGTCCTCGGGGAAGACCTCGATAAGCAGCAGCTGGTGCTCCTCGCCCTCCTGGAGGAACTTACACTTGAAGCCTGGAGTCAAGGCCTGCTGGTTCTTGTACCAGGACACCTGAGGCCGCGGGACGCCCCCCACTCGAACCGAGAAGCGGGCGGGTTTACCGGCCTCCACCGCCTGAGGCTCCATGTGACGGAGAATCTGAGGAGGCTCCGGGACTGAGCGGAGAGGAGAAGCGACAGGAGAACAGTGAGGAGAGAACAACTGGTTGTTGTTAGTTTAACCTGATGATGTCACAACATGTCATCACCCTGATGATGAGGGGGAGTGGCTAAGGGAGCTGTGTCAGGTGACGTTAATGGTGTGTCCACAGAAGGTGGACTCACCAGGGCCAATGTACTACATTGTAACCACACTGGTTACTATGATGCTTTCAGGCTCTGCTCAGTGAGGATGAGAACATTATCACGTCATTGTGATGTGTTCACAAGTATTTTATCTAGATGTTTTCACATAGATAGAAAATAGATATTACTAAACTAAGCACATGATTAAAAACGACAAGATGATGATTGATGATGTCATGTGACCATGGAGGACGGCCAGGAGCTGGACGTGTCTGCGGAGAGGTGAGTCGCCAACCCTTCCTCCTCAGCGGAGCACCACATATCTAACGTGAGAAGGTGGTTCTGACTCACTGTTGACCCGGAGGTTCACGGTGCTCCGGTTCTTGCCGGCGATGAAGGTGTACTCGCCGGCGTCACTCCGGTAGGTCTCGGAGATGCTGAGGCGGTGCAGCTTCCGGATGGTGACGTAGTTGAACCTCTCCTCCGTCGATAACTGGATCTCCACCCCGTTCCTCAGCCAGCGGCCCTCCACCTCGTCCTCGTTCACCTCGAACTCCAGGGTGGCCCGGTGTTTCTCCAGAACCTGCCGGAGGAACAACGAGGAACCCGCCGTCACCGGACTTTGGACTGGCTAGAAGCCCGCCTGTTAAAGTGCTTCCTCGTTAAAGCGCCTCCTCACCTGGAGCTCCCGCTCGGCGGGCTCGGCGATGCGGACGTCGCGGCCCTCCACAGTCAGCTGGGCCTTGGACGTGCTGGAGCCGGCCACCACCGAGTACTCGCCGGCGTCGGAGAGGCGGACCATCTGGATCATCAGGCGGTGGGCAAACTTCTCTGCCGTCACCGTGTACCTGAACACAACACAGACGGCGGCCGTCAACTCCGCTGAGGAGGAGGACGATGAGGAGGAAGGGTTGGCGACTCACCTCTCCGCAGACACGTCCAGCTCCTGGCCGTCCTTCATCCACATCACCTGAGTGTTGGGCTCGGAGATCTCACACTCAAAGATGGCCTTCTTCTTCTCCGTGATCTTTATGTCTTTGATCTTTTTGGTGAATTCAATCAGACGAGCTGAAATGACACCAAGTGTGGTTTCTCTGATGAATGGTGAGCTTCAGGCAGCGAGCACGCAGCAGAATGCAGAGGAGAGCATGGAAATATCTAATATGTCAGAATTCGTTGCATGTGACGGCCTTAACGTGCTTTAAAAAGATGATTTATAGATTATACTGTAATTCAAATACTTATTTTCTTTTCTGATCTGTCTAGTTCTACTCTACTCTCTTATTTTGAAAAGCCGTAAAACAAGGGTTGAAGTGGTAAACTTGTGCGGAATCCCGTTACCTTCCACAAAGAGGTTGGCGGCAGAGGCGGCAGACCCGGCCACAAACTGGTACTCCCCCCCGTCCCCAAAGTGGACGTTCCGGATGCTGAGCGTGTGCGTGAGCTGCCGGCTGCGGACTTGACACCTGTCGGACGACTTGACCTCCACGCCGTTCTTCAGCCACTTGTACGTGAGGCCCTCGTAGTTCACAGTGACCTCGAAGGTGATGGTGTCTCTCTCCTGAGCGTTCAGGTCCTTCAGCATCGAGGTGATGAGTACAGCTGCAGACAAAGAACATTGAAGAATACAACAATGTATTTTGAATGAAAATAAGTGGACAAACAGTATTTTTAGATTGAATACAGTTTTGACTCAGGTCTGCTATTTTTTTGAATATACATTTTAAAAGAATGTCATTCTTCTCTCATATATATTTGCTGTGTTATATTTTTAGGTTGCAGATTTTATCATTTCAGATTTCACTTTCACGTTCGGACTTTTGACCCTGATGTGGCGTGGAGGGGGGGGGCATTAACTGAGAGGGGCGTGGCATCATGAGTGACACGCGAGACTTATGAATCAACCCTTTCTATACACTATATTTAGGGTTGGATGTAAAACCATTGAGCGAACTGTTTTGGATCCTACTCGCATGAATCGCAGAAGATCAACTATCTCAGATTGTTCCATTTACCAACCACACACGCATTTTTTACACGTCCCTGTCAGTTGATGCTCCGCCCCCCACGCCACATCGGGTCAAAAGTCCGAAAAGTGAAAAAAAAGATTTGAAAGTGAAATATAACATGTGAAATTTGAAAATATCCGATTTAAATCTGAAAATATAAAATCTGCAAGCGAAAAATAGAATTCAGTGATTATCAAAAAATATATATTAGTGAAGAATGAAAAAAAATAGAGAGAAAGAGAAAAGAACTAAGTGAAAACTTTAACCCCAAAATACTTTTTTGAAAATGGAAATTAAGGATGGAAACTAATATATTTTATTCATTTAAAGTATTTAAAAAAATGTATGTTTGCTTCCTTATTATTGTTAATTATGACATCATTCAAATCAATTGTTGTAAAAATGATGTTCAATATACTGCATAATAATACTAAAAATAAAGAGAACACTTCTTGACTAAAACTATTTGGATAAAAGAAAAAAGAAATTAGAACCCAGAATACCTTACAAAAAGAGTCCCAAACATGTGATGTGATAAGAATGTGACGTGGTGGCAGCGAGACGAGAGCTTACGGCTGACGGTGAGTGTTGCTGACACTCGGTCGTTCCCACAGACGAAGGTGTACTCTGCAGAGTCGTCTCTGCTGGTGTTCATGATCTTCAGCTGGTGGAGTTTCCCCTGAACTACGATCCTAAACTTCTCGCTCATCTCGATCTCCACGCCGTCTCTCAGCCAGGTGGAAGGTACGTTGAAGTGAGAAACCTCGCACTCCAACGTGGCCACCTGGGTCTCTGGGAGCTGGACGCTCTTCAGGGGTTTGGTGACACGCAGGGCTGAAGAGACAAAATATGACGTATGAGAACCATCTCTATGGATTATTTTGATGAGGTTAAATCCTAAAAGACCTGTGAATCATCAGAATTGTTTGTTGTTTCATTGTAATCATGATAATAGTCATTAACAAAGGTCCCGTACCCTCCACGGTGAGCGTGGCGCTGCACTGCAGGTGTCCCACCACGGCGCTGTACTCCCCCGCGCTGCCTCCCTCCACGTTCTGCAGGATCAGCTTGTGAGCCTTCCGCTCCGACAGGATCTTGCACTTGTCGCTGGACTTGAGCTCCGCCCCTTTGAACATCCACCTGACGGGGATGCCGTCGTGCGACAGGCTCATCTCGAAGGAGGCAGTGCCGTCCAACAGCGACGAGGCGTCCTTTATCTTCTTGATGATTTTGATGGCTGCGGGACATAGAAAACAAGCAAGGGTTTAGCTCCTGGACGGCTCCCCGGATCGGAACACGTTCAGATACTCACTTTCCACGTTGAGCCGGGCGTTGGCCGACAGCTTCCCCAGCTTGAAGGAGTAGACAGACTCGTCCTGCGTGTCGCAGTTCCTGACCTTCAGCGTCTGCACCGTGCCCTCGGAGGTGATCTGGTACTTGTCGCTGTTCTGCAGCTCCACGCCGTTCTTGATCCACTGTGATCCCTTCACGTCCAGGTGTGTGAGCTCCAGCGTAAACACCGCCTCCTGGGTCTCCGTCACCGTCTGGTTCCTCAGAGTTTTCTTGATCTTCACCGCTGGAGACGGAAATAAACACGGGACTCGGATCACGTTGGCGGTTTGGTTTTAACGGTTTGAGTAGGAGCACACCACAGGTGTGATGCTAACGCAGATGACGTACCCTCCACCCTGAGGTGGGCGGTTGTCTTGGAGCTGGCCACTTGGTAGGTGTACTCCCCGACATCCTGCGGCCTGGTGATGACGATGACGAGGCGTCTGACGGCCCCGTCCGCCTCGGTCACCAGATTCTCGTTGAAGTCCACCTGCTGACCGTCCTTCAGCCACTTGCCCTCGGCGTTGGCGTTGGCCACTTGGCACTCGAGCTCAGCCGTCTGAGACTCGGCTACCGTCACGTCCTGCAGGGGCTGAGTGATGGCTCCACCTGGTGGTAGGAAGAAGAAGAGCCAGATGTGAACGGAGAGATTCAGGGTCACTTCCTTGATCAGAAGCAGACCATTGAGGAAAGGACAGTGTCTGCTAATCTTTATCCGTCAAACGTCTTTGAGATTGACTGATTGTGTAACTGTAGTCATACCGGAGACGGTGAGCTCGGCGCTGGACGTCTTTTCACCGGCGTGGAACATGTACTGGCCCTCCTCGTCCTTCATGGCGTCAATGACCATAAGGGAGTGAGCTTTTCCCTTGGTCTCCATCTTGTATTTTCCTCCGGGTTTGAGCTGCAGGTTTCTGAAGGTCCAGACTGGGTCGATGCCCGGGTGGGACACTTCAACGTTAAAGGTGACGTTCTGGGACTCTGAGCACACTTTGTTCTCCATGTACTTCACAATGTGTACCTCTGTAAAAAAAAAAGACCATGGTTGCATCACAGGACTGGTCCCGGGGTCCGGAGACAAGATCAAGGGAAGATGAAATCAGTCTTACGCTCCACAGTCAGGCTGCAGCTGGTATCGACCTTTCCAACCATCAGTTTGTAGCATCCTTCATCGGAGGCGAAGGTCCGGGTGAAGACCAGACGCTGCTTGGCTCCCTTCGCTACCATCTGGATCCTGTCGCTGGGCATCAGCGGTTTGTCGTTGTGGTACCATTTGACCGAAATGACGTCCTGAGCCGAAATCTTGGCCTCTAGAACCGCCTTAGTGCCTTCGATGGAGGACACGTCCTTCAGTGGCACCACAATGTCGATGGCTGTAAGGAAAGAGCAGAAAGGATGGGTTTAATTTCTTGTGACCATCAAGGCAGAGTGCCAATCAGATCTGGTTCTGACTCGTACACTCACTTTGAACACTGAGTTTCCCCGAGGTGGAGATGTCCTGGGCGGGAACCACGAAAGAGTACGAGGCAGCGTCGTCTCTGGTGACGTTCTCTACCAGCAGCTTGTGGACCTGCTTGTCGATCACGATGTGGACGCGGTCGGAGGCCGATATGGCCTGACTGTTCTTCATCCAGGTTCCCTCGACGTTCTCCTGGGAGAACCGGACCTCCAGCTGGGCGATGTCCCCCTCGCAGATCGTGAGGTCGGTCAAGGGCTGCATCAGGGTCACCGGGCGCACTGGAGGTCGAGGAACAACATTACTCCCAAATCGCACTAGATCCCAACATCCCAACGTAAGGATCAGTGTCCGTCACACATCTCCACAAGCGTTCATCTCATTGACCCCACACTGATCCAGGGATGTTACCATTGTTTTATCTAACTATTTATAGATGTTAAATTAATTGAGAATTATAAACCATTTGATAAGAAAGCCTCAATTAGTGAACTTGAGCATTTCTTCAGTGGTTGAACTGGTTAAATAACTCAAAAGCAGAAAGAAAGGCCCCACATATTTTCTCTGCTTTAAAGTTCTTACGTTTCATCTTCAGCGAGGCACTCGTCGTCAGGTCGCCACATACAAAGGTATATTTCCCCTGGTCTCCTTTCTTGACGTCCTTGACGGACAGGGAGTGTCTTCCTCGGCGGGAGGATATAATATATTTACTGCTGGAAGAAAGCTCCTTGTCTCCGAAGAACCAGCTGCCCCCGGCGTCCTCGCGGGACAGTTCAACCTCGAACTCTCCAGAGTAAGTCTCTGGCACCTCAATGTTCTCCATGTGTTTGATGAGATCTAAGGCAGCACCTGGGTAACAAACCATAACCGTTATCCGACAATCAACCCAAACAAGACCAACGGGGGCCGCAAAGCTAAAGATTACCTTCAACGTGGAGCCTGGCACTCGTCCGGATGCTCTCGTCATCTATGATCACGCAGGAGTACTCGGCCGCGTCCCTCATTTCAATCGCCAGCACAGACAAGAAGTGGACCTTTCTGTCCGAGTGCATTCTGTATTTGTCTCCGGAGAAGATAGCCGCGTTGTTCTTGAGCCATTTCACTTTGACGAAAGGCTCGTTGGTTTCACACTCAAAGGTCACAATGGTGTCCTTCTCATTTGCACTGACACCCGTCAGGTTTTGGATAAAGCTGATCGCTGTCTTGGCTGCAACGAGAAGATATAAGTGAGACTCAAACAGAAATTAAGGAAGGAGATAATGACAATTTACCTGAGAGATTCTGTGTGTCTCTCATGTCTTTACCTTGCACAAGCAGAAAGGCGTGGCTGGAGGCCTCCCCGGCGACATTCACAGCCTTCACCATGATGCTAGCAGAGTCCTCTGCCGTCACATCTCTGATCACCAGTTCACACACGTGATCCTCAGGCCAGTACCAGTAAATGCGCTCAGACTTTTCCACCAGAATGCCATTCTTGAACCATTGGCACTCTGGCTCTGGTCTGCCGATGACTCTGACCCTGAAGTGAACCTCGTCCAGCGGAGTGACGGTCTTGCTTGTGATGCGTTCCAGGATCCTGGGTGCTTCCATGCTGGCAGAGAGCTGGACCCTCTCCGGTTTGATTGTAGGGATGGTGAGCTTTCCTTCTTCTTCCATCTTCTTCCTTTCAGCTTCTTCTTTCTCTTTCAAGCGATGGAGCAGATCGTCCTTAGTCTTCTTCAGCAGATCCTCATAGGAGTCGTCCCTCTTGCGGGACCTTGACTCCACAGCAGAGATGGACTCGTAGAAACCTTCCTCGGTCCTGCGCTTGAACTTGCCCTTCAGTTCGTCTGACTCCTCTGAGGTCTTCTCGTGAACGACTCTCTGTGTTTTGCGCAGCTTGACAACCTCTCTGTCCTGCGCAGACTCTGCAGACACGTCGACCTTCACCACGTCAAATCCGATTTTTCCGGGGTCATGCGAAGCCTCTGCGGCCTTCTGGTCCGGAGCACGACGCAGCACGCATCTGAAGTCCTCCTTCTGTTCGACCTCCAGCTTCACGGTGTGCTCGGTGGTGCCCAGAGGGTTGTCCGCAACCAGCCTGACTTCTCCGGAGTCATAAGACTTGACGTCGGCGATCTCCAGGTAGTAAATGCCGTCGTACTGTAGTCTGTATCTCTTGCTCTTGCGGATCAGTTGTCCGTTGAGGTACCAGTTAACCTTGGGGGCCGGATAGCCGGTCACTCTGCAGCGGAATCGCGCAATGTTGCCTTCCAGCACTCTGGCTGGTTCGGGACGGAGGACGATGTCGGGTTTGGTCTTCTCAAATTCGTTGTCAATGGTGACTCCCGAAGGTCCTCCCTCATGAGCCATGCGTTCAATCTCGTCGATCCGGTGTGCTCCCTTCCTGCCATCGGGAAGCTGCGTTTCCTCGACCAGACCCTTCTCGTCCTTGACCACCAAGGTGGCCGAGGTCTGGTCGACTCCGTACTTGTTGGTGGCTCTGCAGGTGACGACGCCGCTGTCTCTTGCGTAAGCTGCTTCGTAGTCCAGGCTGCAGTAGCCAAATTCATTGACCATGCGCAGCCTGTTGGCGGCTTCCAGGGGTTTGCCGTCGTGCAGCCACTCCACCACCATGGTGGGGTCACCGATTGGGGTCAGTCTACACTCGAAGTGAGCCGGACCACAACGCTTCATTCTAATGGAGGTCAGCTTCTTCCTGAACTGTGGTTTCTGCTGCTTCTCTTTGTCGTAGAGGTCGCCCTCCTCCCACTGGTCCTGGCCGTAGCGCAGATGAAGGGGCTCCAGCTCGGGAGGGGCGATGTCCTTGGCTTTGTAAGTTCCTTTGGTGATGATGAGCTTCCTCTCTGTGTGAGGAGCAGCAAAGTCCACCTCTACGTTGACTCTGCAGCGTGTGGTGTCTCTGCCGGCCTTGTTGATGGCTGTTGCAGTGTACCAGGCACTGTCTGAGCCTGAAGAAGATGGGATCTGGAATTTGGCCTCTCCTTTGGTTCCGTCAATCCTGAAATACATGAGTGAGATATATTGATACGCACCACTCATCCTACATATGTGTCAAAGGATCAGGGAATAAAATCTAGAGCCGCCTCTCTCTCCTCTGTCCTCGTCCTTCTGGACCTCTCTGCTGCATTTGACACAGTCAACCACCAGATCCTTGTCTCCTCCCTTCAGGAACTTGGTGTCTCAGGCTCTGCTCTCTCCCTTCTCTCGTCCTACCTCGACGGCCGCACCTACCGGGTAACCTGGAGAGGATCTGTGTCGGAACCTTGTCCTCTTACTACTGGTGTTCCTCAGGGTTCCGTCCTGGGTCCCCTCCTCTTCTCGCTCTACACCAACTCTCTCTGCGCTGTCATTCGCTCGCATGGCTTCTCCTACCACAGCTATGCCAATGACCCCCAACTAATTCTCTCCTTCCCTCACTCGGACACCCAGGTGGCGGCTCGGATCTCTGACTGACATCTCTCAGTGGATCCGCCCACCATCTGAAAATCGACCCCGACAAGACTGAACTACTTCTCTTTCCGGGAAAAGATTCTCTGACCCAGGACCTAACTGTTAACTTTCGTCACACTTCGGTGTGACACTCGACAGCCGACTCTCCCTGACTCCCAACATCACTGCGACAACACGATCCTGTAGATACTCGCTCTACAACATCAGGAGAACACGTCCTCTTCTCACTCAGAAGGCAGCGCAGGTACTGATTCAGGCTCTTCCAGCTTACATCCAGGACCTGGTCCAACCCGACACCCCGACCTCTGACCTCTCCGCTCTGCATGTGATAAACTGCTTGTTCCTCCTCACTGAGAGCAAAACACTCGACTAGATCTCCACTCTTTGCTGTCCTGCTCCTAAATGGTGGAAGGAGGTCTCTGAAGACATCAGGACCACAGAGAGCCTTCACATCTTCAGACTAAAGACACACCTCTTCAGACTCTACCTCCACTAACACACTAACTAACTGGAGCACTTACATTGGACTTATAATGGTCCTTATCTACAGCGAGTTGTAAACTGGCTTATTTGATGAAATTGCACTTTCTTGTTTCGTGTTCTCCTGAGTTTGTGTCCTGATGGTTGAAATGCACGGATTTTAGGTCGCTTTGGATAAAAGCGTCAGCTAAATGACGTGTGATGTAATAATGTAATCAATTAAAGGTACGTACTTGATGTGTGGGTGCTTGTGTGGGGAGATGATATCACTGTTTTTCAGCCACACGATGTCAGGAAGCGGGTTTCCAATGGCTCTGACAGCCAGTTCCACCAGAGTGCCCTGCTTCACACTGATGTTCTTCAGCTTCTCAATGAACTGTGGGCGCGTCAGGCTTTCTCGAGCTGTGGAAATACAATGACATATTTTAATAATGCAGGTTTGTATGTCTGGTGAACATAATCCACAGACTAGGTGCCGATCATGGCGATGACATATAAAACAGATCCTCACACACGGAACTTACCATCAACAGTAAGAGTTACAGAGACCGAAGTCCGTCCCGCTCGGTTCTGAGCGATGACCGTCCACTCTCCGGAGTCTTGTGGCAGGGCGGGGACGATGATCAGGGACTGGGTGCCGTCCTCTTTGACCACGATCTTGTGGGTGTAGTCGTTGACCACTTGTTGTCCTGGGGAGAACCACGATCAAATGGTTGTAAGTGGCAGAGGAGAGCGATAAAGTCTCCAGCAATAGAACCTTGTTTCTTCTCACCATTATGGAACCAGTATGTGTCAGGCATTGGTCTGCCAACGACCTTCAGGTCGAATCTGGCGGTTTGCCCCTCGGAGCATTTAATTGAAGAAGGTTTCATGACAAACACAGGCTTGTAGAGTCTTTCCAGCTGAGCCTCGTCCGTCTCTTCCAGTCGGCGGGCCGGAGAGCGTCCGGGGGAACGACTGGAGGAACGTCCAGGTGAGCGGCTCAGAGAGCGAGGAGAGGTGGATCTGAGAAACACAGTCGTCAGTATTGAGGTCTAAAAGCAACTGTTGAGCACAGGGGAGGCTCCAGGCCAAAACCTGATCCTCACCTGATCCTCTGCATTGCCGGCTGCGGTGTGTATCTCTGAGGAATCACGGCGCCGGACGGCTCCACGTAGAGCTTCCCGGAGCTGACGGCGTTTCCCTTCATGTTGGTGGCGAAGGCGGTGTACACGCCCTCATCCTCTGGCAGCACCACGGGCAGGCGGAGGCTGGCTCGGCCATCCTGAAGGACCTCCATGTGGTAACGGTCGCCGGCTCTGATGCGTTGGCCGTCTTTGTACCAAGCAATCTACGAGAAGACAAGACAACTTATTAAATGAACATAAATGTTAGAGAGTTTACTCTTCTAAACGAATGGCGTTAACTAACAATAATTGACTAAGTGCCGTCTCCCAGACTCCGAGCTCTGCTCTGAAGTTCAATCTGATCTTCGCCTGCGTAAAAACACACTTTGGTCTGATTTGCGGTCCAGTACCTTCGGCAGAGGGTTTCCACCCGTCTTGCAGTGGAAAGTGACACCCATCCCGTCCATGATTCTGTAGTTTTTGACCGGCGTTTCGAAGGCCGGCTGCACCGCCTCCACCTCCGCCACGGTAACCTCCAGCTCTCCGTCCTCCACCACCAGCTTTCTGTAGCTGATCATCATGATGCGGAGCTCCACCTCTTGGATGATCCGCTCTTCAAATGCAGAAATGAGAAATTCCTGCAGAAAGAAGAGCGTGTAAGGTTCAGCCATAACAACAAACTGAGACTGGTTAACAACGACTGCACGCATGTAAAGGGTGCTACCGTTTCTGAGACTAAGCTCATGGGGGTCGTGGTCCTCCTCTGCTCCAGCTCGTACTGACTCAAGACCACAGAGGGCTCTCGCACCACCGAGGTCGTCACTTCGGTTTTATACGTCACGTCATGTTGCTTCATGTAGGCTTCATATTCCTCTGTGAAGAGACGAGTCACACCGTGAGTCACCGGGGCAACGAGGTCCTCTTCAATGTGTTCTAATGGCTTTTACTAAGTGGAAGAAACCAACCAAACTAAAAGAACCCAAAGGACAGTGGTACCTTCCTCTAGCAGGCGGGCGGAGGCGGAGGCCTCCCCGTGGGGGTTCTTCACAAAGATGGAGTATTCTCCGGCATCATCAGCAAACGTCATGGAGATCTCCAACTTACATTCTCCGGTCTCCTTCTTGTAGGACACTTTGTATCTAAAATAAACCAGAAAGATATTTTCTATCCAATCATCGTCTTATCTGAAGGAAAACTAGAATCATGTTGCAGTTTAGATCCACGTCTGTTCACGATGGCATCACATCATCATTTTATCTCATTAGACCAGGGATTCCCAAAGCGTGGTGCCTTGTGCAGCTAACGGCAGCTAACCGCTAACTTCATTCATTCAAATATGCTAAACTGTCTGAAGTCGGGAAACTGTCAGGTGGAACATCTGAAACCATCAGTTATGAGGAGACGGACGGAGAGACGAATCAGACACAGAGTTAATACTCACATTTCTCTCTCTGTCTCTCTGATGAGCTCCTCCCTTTTTATTCAGATCTGTTTCTGAGACTCTACGTGTCCCTGTGATGTGTAACTTTACATCTCTAATTTTAAATAATGTAACCGTTAATTGTAAATGAAATGCGATGCAATCTGCCTCATTTACCCTGTTGATGTAAAAACATACAGGAACACGTTCTCTGCGTTTGACCCCCCACACAGTGGGAGCAGTTGAGTGTCTTGCTCAGGGACATGGAGCTGCCGGGGTTTCGAACCGCCACGCGTTTCGCTTGTCATTAGTCTGTTGTGTTTCTCTGTGCTGCACAGTGACCGGTTCATTACTCCATCCGGGTGGAGCTGGTTTTATGTGAAGCACTAAAGCTGTCAGATGTCAGAAGTATAGGAACAAGATGAAGCGGCGAGGTAGCGGAGAAGGCGTGAGCTCCTACCTGTATCCGGTGGTCAGCGCGATGCCGCCCTTCTTCCACATGACGTGAGGTCGGGGGCTTCCTCCCACCTGGCACTCGAAGAAGACGCCGCCTCCCTCCACCAGCTTCTGTGCGCTGGGCTTCCTGAGGAAGAACGGAGCGGCAGACTCTCCCGAGCTCACTTCCTCCACCCGCTGCTCCTTTGACTCCATCACGACGCTGAGGGGGAAAGCCATCGCTCCGTCACACGAGACATCTCGCGTCTCACCGTGGACCACTAAACACGTCGCACTGCTCACCTCTTCTCCTGAGCGACTGCGACCTCGGTGACGACGGTCGTCTCTTCTCTGCTCTCCATCTCCTCCGACACTACAGACACGTTGTGTGAGGAAACATCTCAGCTTAAAGACAACAGGATCGTGCACACATGCTAATTAAAAGGGTTTAGCAGAGACTTTGCTCTAAAATGTCTTTAATATACTGACAACAGACCTGGTTTTATTGAGACTGAAGTTCTCCTCAAAAACTTTGATGAGTAAGTAAATTAAATTGGAAAAAATGTGACACAATTGTCAACATCAGAGCGTCTACAAAGAAAAGATGCACAACTTTAAACATCTAAATCTGACTCTGAACGTAGCTGGAGTGAGAACAGGGCTTTAGACCAATAGAAAACTAAAATAATGAAATAAGCCTTTTTTCTGTCGTAGGGTTGGACGATCAAACATATTAACAAGAGAAACCTCTAACTGAACATGTCTGGATTCTGAACTAGAGGTCACCTTTGACCAGCAGGTAGCAGGAGGTGCTGACGGTTCCCGCCTCGCTGCTGGCGGTGCAGGTGAAGCGTCCGCTGTCTTCGGCGAAGGCCTCGCGGATCACCAGCCGGGCGAACCCGCTCACGTAGCTGATCTGGAAGTCGATGGAGCTCTCGATCTTGTAGTCCTCTCTGAACCACATGACGGCGGGCTCAGGGTGGCCGCTGATCTGACATTCCAGCGTCACCGACTCGCCCTCCGTCACCGTCACGTTCTTCAGGCCCTGAGAGGGACAGACAGAGGCCTTCAGGGACCTTCATAGTCGTTGCGGGGGGGGGGCGGGGGGGGCTCTCCGTCCACTGTGCCGTGCACAGCGAGTTAGTAATTAGGAGAGAATCCGATCAATGTTCAAGATAAAACATTTTTCAGAAAAAAAAGTCAAATGACGAAAAAAAAAGATTCCTTCTGTGCTGCGGCCCGAGAAGGTCAGAGGTTCTCATGTGTCTGCAGGACACAGAACACACTGATAAACACATTAACACGTTGAATTGAATCGTTGTTGCACTAATTGAACGCCAGAGGGTTCATTAATTAATGTCTGACATGGATCAGCAGCCACAGAGCATCAGATGAAATGACTTATTATTGTGAAGGAAAGAGACAGGAAGTACTCACAACAGTGAGAGTGGGAGGGACGAGCGGCTCCTGAGCTCTGGTGGGAACAGCAGCAGGATCCTGAGGAGACAAGAAGGGAAACCAGCAGTCAAAGTGGGAACAGGGGGAGGAGCTTGTGGTCAGAGGTGGAGACCTGTGAGGACGATGGAGGAGGAAGCCGTTAGAACAGATAAAACCCTGCCGAGGGGACGGAGGGATGAAGGTCAACGGGAAGACAAGATGAGGAGGAGGATTCTTCGGGGGCGGATGAAGGGCGGGGTGTGATTGGTTGAAGAGGGAACGCAGTCCACACAGGGTTAAAAGAAGGAGAAGTGACAAGCGGAGGACCAACCTGAGGCTCCCAGTCCTCAAACTCCTCCTCACTCGCTGCGTAAGCGCCGCGCCCCCGGGACTCAGACACACACGGCGGGGAGAGGAGCTCCGCCGCGGCGCGCGCCGCCGCTCTGCGAGACGGACTGGCCGACTTCACGGGCCTGATGACCTTTCTGTGAGCGGAGGAGGAGGAGGAGGAGCAGGAGGAGGACAGCTCTTTGTGCAGAGCGGCGATAGCGGAGCCGGCGATGGAGACCTAACCGAGCCAACGACAACACGTTAACGTCCAGCTGTGCCCTCTAACGGCGCTCACCTCATCCATTCACCACTACCACTACTTTGTATTCAACCACGCCAGGGTCAGCATTGCCTATCAGGCCTCACAGTTAAATGCGGTAAGAATAAATACAAGTAATAAATGATTTTCTCTTCTCTGGTTAAGATGTGTTTTTTTGTTTGTCGTAATACTGATGTTGGACACAAGAGGTGCTGCATTGCCTCATTAAACATAGTTATGCTACTGACAATAACCAGTGTAAACTCCAGCAAAAATGATCGGTCAAACATTTAACATGTTTTGATTCTTTGGTCACACGAGAAGAAGTCAAATGGATATTTGTGTACAAGAATCAGCTGTGATCCAGTGTTGGATGATAACCGATGAGCAGACTAAGCGCCGTGTGAGAGGACTGTGAGGAGGTCAGAGGGGATCACAGGACACGGCGGAGGGTTAAAGGCGGAATGGAGGGAGGCTCCTCTGCTCCTCTTACCTCGTGGCCCTGCTCACGTTTAGGGACAGAAACTTTAGAGACTGTGAAATGTGGAGCTGCAGACGAGGCCCCGCTGGAGGTCTGAATGCAAAGAGGCCAACACAGCGGTTAGGAGCAGTCCCACTCTTACTGTCTGACATGGTGTGTGTGTCTGATATCGAGTCCTCCGACCTGAGGAACCCGGAGCTTCGGCTGCTCAGAGGTCGGTACGCTGGCGACCGCCGGCGGCTCTTCCTGCTGCTGTGCCTCTACGGCTAATTCCTCCTCCTCTTTGGCCTGCACAGGCCGGAGGACCCGAGCCAGGTCTACGGCGGCCAACACGGTGGCCACCGCCTCGGCTCTCACCCCCCCCTCGGCCTGGAGACACAAAGAGGAGCACACAGAGCTCAGGACTCCAAGTCGGGGGGGGGGGGGGGGCAACACAAAGTGCAACACAAAGAAAGGAACACGCAGTTAGAAGAGAAAGTGAAGTGGACTTCTTCTGGTGGTTTAAAGAAAGCAGACGTATGGAGGAAAATGACAAGGAGAAGGAGAAGAAGAGGCAGATGGAAATGAAGAAGAAGAAGGAGAGCGCGGTGAAGGAACACTAACACTGAGGTCTACCTGCTCCTGAGACAGGCCCCGACCTCGAGCCTCCTCCACAGCCGCAACGCTCTTATGGTCCTGGCGCATTTATCAAACATCAACACTCAACTCAAGTAACGCTTCATCACACAATTCAATCGGGCTCCATGCAGATTCATGCTTTTAATTAATAATCAATTCATTTGTTTTTTTTCAACTCACTTTATGTTCATATAAAGTATATTTTTTAGTCCCACAGTACAGTACCAATGAATTACCGGTCCTGTGCAGTCCCTAAGTTGCCCTGCTCACCTCTCTGGTGGCGCTGACCTGCTGCTCCCAGTGCTTCTCCATGTGGAGCTGGGCGGCGCTGCTCATACTGGTCATACTGCTCATACTGGTCATACTGGTCATACTGGTCATACTGGCGTAGCTGGCCTCAGACACAAAGCCTCCCTGCTTCCATGGAGGGAGGACCTCTGCAGACGCGGAGAGCTGCAGGAAGAGGAGTGAATGTTAGGAGGAGGAGGCGCAGCTATGGAGGAGGACACCACCTGAAGGGTGGATGTAGGACTCACCTGTTTCCTGGTCATGAGGGGAGACTTCACTGGTCTGATGGGGGAGACAGACAGTCTGCTTGCGGGTGAGACAGGTCTGCAGAGGACAAACCAGAAAAGGTGATTAGAGTAGCCACAAAACTAATTATAGATCATTGATGATAGTTGATTTATTTGGTTTGAATCAGCTGCATCGTCCCAAAAATAATTTTTATGTCAATAAACCTTTGTTATAGTAAATCATACAATTTAAATGATGACTAAATAACAGATTGTATTTGTATTGCCATTTAATTTAATGCTGAATAATAATGTGCTCAGTTAGAGCTAAACAGATCATAATTCATCTTTAGTATTGATTTTATATTTGTGTGAAAACATCTGGATTCTAGTTCATCACTAAACCTGACGGTTGACGGTAACCTGTGGGGGGGGTCCTACCTGACGGGGGCGGGTGTCGGCCCCTTCACGTGGCGGACGGGTGAAGGCGACTGCTGCCGTCCTCCCGTCCCCTTGGACACAAAGGAGGAAGGCGACTTGGAGGCGGGCTTCGGCGGAACCCGCGGGGGGGTTTTGTGAGCTAAGTGCTGAGTCAACGTTCCTCCTTCCACATGCATCTCCATCATGGCAGATGTCTGGAAGCTGGACTCAACCTTGAAGGTCACAGAGAGTTTTTGATTAGATCTTAAAGGTTCATCTATAGCTGCGGTATTAACTGTCAGAAACGTTCATAAACAGTCACAACCCATTGCTAGCTGTTACAAACTCTTACCCACTGTAACCAGCTCTTACTGTTACTAATGGTTATTTACTAACTGTTACCAGCTGAGATTAGCACTTAATATTAGCTGTTACATCACATTACAGGTCATGCTTTTATCCAAAGCAACTTACATTACATTTTTAACCCGTGGCTTTTTTTTTACATTTTTGCCCGGGGAGCAATTATGGGTCAGGCGTCTTGCTCAGGGACACTTTGACATGGGACATGGAGCAGCCGGGGCTCCAACCGCCAACCTTGTGGTTCCCGGCGCTCCCTCTCTACTCCTGCGCCACGTCGACTACTGTTACTGACAGTTACTAGCTGATATTAACTGATACTAGCTGTTACTATTACAAACTTTTGCTAGCTGTTACAGTTACAAACTGGTACTAGTTGTTACTATTACTAACCTTTACAAGCTGTTACTAGCTGATATTAGCTTTTATTAACTGTTATTGTTGCTAACTGTTACTAGCTGTTACTATTACTAACTTTTACTACCCGTTACTTCTACTAGCTGATATTAGCTTTTATTAACTGTTATTGTTGCTAACTGTTACTAGCTGTTACTATTACTAACTTTTACTACCCGTTACTTCTACTAGCTGATATTAGCTTTTATTAACTGTTATTGTTGCTAACTGTTACTAGCTGTTACTATTACTAACTTTTACTACCCGTTACTTCTACTAGCTGATATTAGATTTTATTAACTGTTATTGTTGCTAACTGTTACTAGCTGTTACTATTATTAACTTTTACTATGTTTTACTGGTCGTTGTGGTGCAGGGGTTAGAGAAGGTGTGCTGGGAAGCACAAGGTTAGTGGTTCGATTCCAGGCTGCCCCATGTTCCATGTCGAAGTGTCCCTGAGCAAGACACCTGACCCCTAATTGCTCCCTGGGCAAAAATGTGAAAAAGCCACAGGTTTAAAGTGTAATGTAAGTCGCTTTGGATAAAAGCGTCTGCTAAATGACATGTAATGTAATGTACTACCTGTTACTTCTACTGGCTGATATTAGCTTTTATTAACTGTTATTGTTGCTAACTGTTACTAGATGTTACTATTACTAACTTTTACTAGCCGTTACTTCTACTAGCTGATATTAGCTTTTATTAACTGTTATTGTTGCTAACTGTTACTAGCTGTTACTGTTACTAACTTTTACTACCTGTTACTTCTACTAGCCGATATTAGCTTTCATTAACTGTTATTGTTGCTAACTGTTACTAGATGTTACTATTACTAACTTTTACTACCTGTTACTTCTACTAGCTGATATTAGCTTTTATTAACTGTTATTGTTGCTAACTGTTACTAGCTGTTACTGTTACTAACTTTTACTAGCCGTTACTTCTACTAGCTGATATTAGCTTTTATTAACTGTTATTGTTGCTAACTGTTACTAGCTGTTACTGTTACTAACTTTTACTAGCCATTACTTCTACTAGCTGATATTAGCTTTTATTAACTGTTATTGTTGCTAACTGTTACTAGCTGTTACTGTT